TCATATTCTCTTTATGTATATATATATATGCAAAATCTAGCTTTAAAGGCACTTTGAATCATTTTTCTCTGACAGAGGTAGATTGGAAGAACTAAACCTATGTGGTTTCAGGTTTAATGCTTGAGAAAGTGGGGACTTTTCAGCTGTAGCTTTATTCATTCACCCTTGCATTCTTACAAATAATTCCTCTGCAGCATCACTTGGAACTTCAGTGTAGATCTGATTTAAAAGACCAGAAGAGATAATTTCATTTTCTGCTTAAAATCCTCAGCTAAATATTCATGCATCAAATCTGTACCTTCTATTTGAGAAAAAAAAAAAGATTTGCAAAAATGTTACCCACTCGAGGTAAGTGCTGAGGGTAATTTGTATCATTTATGCAAAGGTGGCACAACATTATCAATTAGGAAAGCTATATATTTTAATTCCAGTTTGAATTTGTATTGGTTTAACCTCTGTTGGCTTTCACCACACTTTTTTTTTTTTTTTTTTTTTAAGGAAAGCACAGTCTGCAATCAGTATCTAGACATTCTATGCAGGCTGTGAAAAATAATTTATCTGTCTTTGAGAAAAGTATTTACATAGCTGGTAAAGTCCTTCCTCCTTTTCCAGTCTCAAATCATTCTGATCATTTAAGAATTAACATGACACACTTCAGGGATATTTTGCTTTGCTCTCACTGGACATGAAGGATGTGGAACATAGTTCACAGGTGCCTGAGAAAGGGTGGACAGTATTCAGATGGCAGAGCTGATTGCTAAGCAGAAATGTTGCTTTGGGGATAAGGGCAAACCAAGAGCACTGATGGTGTCCTTCCTTTCAGCATTTTGGTTCCATACAGCACCATGTTGCCTTTAATTCTGTAGCTAATATTGTCACAGCAAGCTCAGCTCTCTTTGCACAGGACTGTGGGGACTAAATTCATCACCTGCACTGTCTCATCAATTAAGTTTCACTTAACCTGCCCTTCAACTTGTCTAAGGCTATTTTCTGAAGTCTCTTGTCTAGCCTGCTCAGAGGTACACAGTTATTACTCCACACTAGAACCGAGGTCAGAAGTCAAGGTCTTGCTTTACTGATTGGTGGTGGAACCTGCTGGAGAGTGAGAGCAAATGAAATGTGAGAACTCCATGACCTCCATTTATACTTGCTAACAGATGTGGAATTATGTACTTCTTAAAAAATGTGCCAAAAGTCATGCAAGCAAATGCAAAATAAAGTATTTCCCATTTCCAGAAGATGAAAAAATGAATAGAAATGAAGAAATAAACATCTATATGTGTGTTAAATGTGCAAAGTGCTTTTGTGCAACCAAAGCAATAAAAACTATCCAGAAATAAGTCATTTATTAACAATATTTTCATGAGCCTTTCTCCTAGGAGTGTTGGAGGGAATGTTTATCTACAGTTAGTGAATGTGTCCCAAATTTAGTTTTTAATTACATTTTGTAATTAAAACCCATTCTTGGTGAGAAAGGGAAAAGTGAACAAAAACCCTTTAAGGTTTAACCAGTTACTTGTTTGCTAGCAATTTAAAAATTCTTTTTTCATACAAACTCAGATCTATTTGAAAAGTCTTGCATACTTCTGACTGTGCAGTGGTGCCCCTTCCCATTTCTGTGTTTGTCCAGCATGCTAAAACTGTCCCATTTTGTATCTGAGAGAAAAGATCATCTTTTGTGACCTGATTGTGTTTCATGCACTAAAATTCTCATGGGGAATGTGGAAAATATGATTTAGATAGATAGATAGATGGATAGATAATGTCATACACCTGAGAAATGGTATCAGAATATGTAGGATATTATGTGGTAAGTGTATTTCCTACCTTTTCTAAAAATCTCTTTGCAAGCATAGACACTCGTTATATAAAGGATCGTCAATACTAAAATAAAGCATCTAGTTTCTCTAGAAGTTTTCAGCTGAGATTTTTCAAGAGTCCTTTTGTTTGGTCACATTAAGGTGGCATTTTCAGCTAATATAGTGGAAAACACATTTCCACAAGTAGTGTAGCACAGCTACAGAATTAGAGTGCTCAGTGAATAAAAGCTCTTAACATTCTTAGCAAAGCAGTTGTAAGATATCTCTACCTGTGTCTATAGCTGTCTAAAGAAAAATAAAATGTTATTTGCTTAAATCTTGTTACCTGAAATGGGTCACATTTGATAAAATTTCTTAAAATATGTTCTGGACCAACATTAAGTATCTACTTGGCGTGAAAGGTCACAGTCTGCATAGCTTTACTTCTGGCTAAGTTCTGAAGTGCTGAAAGCAACTAACCATGGCAGAGGTCAGGTAGTCCTATCTATAGAAAGAGCTGTCTGCCCTGCCTGGAATAAGGGTTAAATCTATTATGGTCAATGAAGTTACACAGTCAAATGCAATCAAAATCAGCCTGTGCAGGGCAGCATTAGGCAGTGATAATGACAGAGCTCATTGAGAGTCATTGTCACTCTCCATGGAACTCACACAGTCCATTTGGTGCCCATGCTGTTGAACTTAGGAGGTCAAGACTTCTGTTTCCAGAAGTGAAACATCATGTAAGACTAAGAGGATTGTCATTTAATTGAAATCATTGACACCCCATTAACATTATTCTCTTTTAAACTCCATTGTAGTGATTTTGCAGTGAACGTTCTTAGTGAACATTTGAACCCTTAAGCGTGGGCTAAGTAGGTATTGTGCATTTTCTTCCTATCAGGATAACATAAGCTTGGTGAACAAAAGGGTAGCTGCAAGATTTAAAGATTTAGAAATATTTTGGTATTTGGGATGGTCTTATCTGCAGTTAACTTACATTTGCCTCTAGAACTTAATGGAGTTCAAATTGAAGTAAAAGAAGCAGCAAATAACAGTGATGGAGTTGGAGGAAGAACATCTCTGAGTATCAGAAAATATATCATTTTCTAATTTCTTTGTTCCATCAGGATTAGAATCATTATAGGACTTAAAAGGACTGAGTCCTTATATCCTGCCTCTCTACCATAACTCCATTTCTCTCTTGCCTAACTATGATTCCAGCCATTCCACCCAGTGCCCAGTTTATCTCCTCATCCCAATTCCTTTATTCTTCTCTCCCCTATATCTTCAATTACCAACAACTTCCCCGCTCTGCCAAGTTTGCCAACAAGCCCAGGCAGGATGCAGCATGACACATATTCTCAGCCAGCAGGCCAAGTAACACAGACCCTTACCTTTCATGGGGTCATTAATCTAGGTCTCCTTCCATTGCAGAGCTGCCATTTATCATGCAGGAACTGAGGCCTCTCTTGGTCCTTCAAACTCTTTGAAGTTGGTAAAATAGTTCAAAAAAACCCAAATGACAAAACAACAGCATAATCACATGATTCTCATTCCCTGGGGAAATCAGGTTTAACACAAGAAATCATCTTTGAGGTAGTAAGTCTGCTGATCACATCATACAGGTGTCTGTCTTGTTTGTTTTATTTTTTACCAGTTTGACATTGACAAGGAAGCTGGAGAGAGACAGATTTACCATCGGTACTGTATGGAAAGAGCATCTGTCCACTGTGCCCATGTGTTCACCACAGTCTCACAGATAACAGCTACAGAAGCAGAACATATGCTTAAAAGAAGTCCTGGTAAGTCTTAAATTGTTTTCTTACTGTATTTGCTCCAAGTACCTACATTTCCTTAGACTGAATGAAGATAATAGAGACAGGTATATGGACATGAAGAGCAAGGACACACGCACAGATGAGTCTATCTACACTACAGATAATAACCAATGTTCAAAAGAAAAGCACAGATGATATCACTTGAAGCACATTCTAGTAGCATGTGTAATCTAGAGGAACTCAAGTTCAGCATCACTTAATAACTGTTTTCACTACCATTTCAGGGGACTATTAGTTTTAACTCCATGGACGTTAGGCTTTTTTTGCAAGGGCATCTCAGCTTCAGGAGTTTTGTGTTGCTTCCATGCTATTAGGACTGAACCATGATAAGCTTCATAGACATAATATTTTCTATTAGACCAATCAGTAGAGTTTGGAAAAATAGTCATGTGCTCAACAGTTTGTCTGTTTTCCCCTTTGTATTAGTCTCATAAATATGAAACTTAGAAACTTTGTTGCATGCCATGCATGGAGCTTGAGTGAGGGCATGATCTCAGTTTGGTGTGTCATTAAAGTTCTCTTTAAATCAGTACAAAGCTTTATAAGGACAAACCACAATATTCCATCTGCAGGTAAGCATCATTGGGGTAAAACCATACATCAATTTTGAGACCATTTAGCAGGTGCATTCACATCTTTGAAGTGTAGCAATACTCAAAAGACTTTGGTTTTTTGGTGGTTTGTTGTTTGGATTTTTTTTTTAATTATTATTTGCTTATTCTTTGTAGATTTTGTTAGGTGATTTGTGGTGCTAATTATAGTTTGGAGCTATTATAACTTTAATGCCTCACACCACATCTTGATTCACACATTAGAACAAAAGAGCTGTTCATTGAGTCCTTTGACTCTGTCAGTAGGATGGTGAACTTAGATGATTTTGCCTTGTTATTTTGAACATGACAGCCATGTCTTAAAAGTCATTGAAGTGTTCAGTCATATAATGGGGATATCTTTGAAAGGTCTTAGGTTTTACCAAGTGCAGAGCACTTGACCTCTGAAAATCAGACTTTTGAAGCTGGTTTATGTTGGTATGAGGCTTCTCCCCACAACAGCTACCTTGGAAAATCATAGTTTATGTTTTGGGATTTTAGGAGACTGAAATGAGTCTGAATCCAGTTTAATTTGGGAATGAAAATCTGCAGACTGCTCACAGATAGAACATCACTTGAAGCAGAAGAGAATTCCATGCAGAGAGATTCACAGGCCTGAGCTTTTTGTGATTATTCTTTCAACTTTGAAGAAAACAAGTAAATATATTTAATGTTTGGGTTAAACAATTACTGACACATATCATGCTTCATGTTGACAAGGCTAGAAAGAAATTCAATAGGAATTGGCACCCCAAATCCTAGGAGACAATTCTAAATGGAAAGTATGTTCTGATGGGAATAAGTACTTTTCATAGTTTGCTGGAAGGCCCAACCACAGATCAACTGTGTAGGAGTTTATTCTTGTACTATTTGTTCTCTCTGAAGTTGCGAAATCAGCAAAGACATTGGATGTTTGGAAAATTCAACAATCCTTCTGTAGGTCATTGAGCTGGAATTCTGCAAATGAACATGAATACAAGTGTACATTTCTCAATCGACTATAAAAATAAACTTTTAAAAGGGGGATTCAGAATTGACACAATTAACTTTTATTTGCATTTATTGCAAGATAAAGTTTGTAACCAAATTGTTAGCTAAAAATAACTGAGAAGTGTGATAAGTAGAGACATCTCTACTACTTCTCTTTAATGTTTAACTTGGATTATGATTTAAATTCTAAATCTCATCACATGGAAAATTCCCTTTAAAATTTAGTAAACCTGATTGTCTAGAGAATTTTTGCAGCAGGACAAAGGCCAATTTGCCAGTCTAAACCTGGCAAAATCACTGCTTGCATTATGCTGATTCCTCTTGCTGCTATTATTAATTTGATTTATCAAATTTATCAAGCTGTATTTGTCAGAAGCTTGAGTATCTGATGTTGAACCTGTTTTCTTTGACATATCAAGCAAAATTCTGTCAGTGATCATAAGTTATAGTCCTGTGATTCAAAAACCGATATTGTGGAATTTATAATGTTTTCATTCAGGTATGAAACCTATTTCTCATTAGCAGTTGAGAAGACTTTGAATCAAAATTCCAAAAAACTTAAGTATCAGCTAAGATCTAGACCTAGACTTCCGAACTGTATATATTTGTTCAAAATCATAGAAGCAAACTGAAAAAGTATGAGTCAATGCTGAATGTTAGTGACAGAAAACATCATACTGCACATTACTTAGAGCAAAGCCAGTTTCTTTCTTATAGATACAGAAGTCAAAATGTTCTGATTTGACCTACTTGGGACAATTTTTCAAATAAAAATGTCATTAATTCATTAAATAAAAAAACCCAAACCACTTAGCATAGGGACAAAGCCCTCTTCCATCACTTCTTCCCTAGGGCAAGAGCACATTGCCTCACATGTGGTCAAAGTAGTACTGTATGTTGAGCAGAAATAGTGAACTGGGAGCTTTGGGCCCCTATATCCGTTCTTGAATTGAAGCCTTAAATAAGGGATGGATTGAGCCCCAGTCCTGATGAAAAAGTAAATGAAACTGCAGTTAAATCAAAGAACATGGGAGTAGGTTATATACAGACGGCTGCTGATGGGTGAGAGTGGCCAAAACTCCCTGATAAATAAATGTGAGAGAGTGGATGGAAACTGGCCAGAAATACCCAGTCAGAGATTCTCACTTTATTGGGAAGAGTTTGAAATGGCTGCAGTCTCAAAGCTATGTCCTGCATGAGCCAGTCCTTCCATTCTGAACGAGAAGCAGGTTAGAGGATTGAGAACATACGTTGTTGATAAAGACAATGAAGAATGTTTCTGCTCTGTTGACTCTCCCCTCATAGAAGGACACATGGGTCTTTGTTCAGGGCAGCTCTTAGAGCTGGGCAGGAAGAGGTAAAAACACAAGTTTTCCTGTCAGGCCCACTAAGAGTGTCCTTTTATTGTCACTGAGAACTAAATCTGAAGTACCTAACAAGTAAAGATTTCCTGGGAAAGGCTGGTCTTTAGTTTCAAATGTGGTATTCCAAGGACAGACCCACCCAAATTTTTGGTATTTCATGGTTACTAACAAAGGTTTTATTTTTACCTATAGCTGAAGTGAAAAATGCCAGGCAAGTACACTGGACAGCAAATGGAGAACTGATTGTACTTATTTTAAGATCATCTTGATATGGAATCAACCAGAGGAGACATAGGTGTTTTAAGGAAGTCTCTGTAAGTCTCTCCAGATGTAGGAAACAGTCTGGTCAGAACCTTAATGCTAGACATGGAAACCTCTACTAACAGGGGAAAGGATGGGAAACCCTGAATGCCAGGCACCCATGACTGCAAGACAGCAGCAGAAGTAGTGTTCAAGACCTGTATGAGTGGCAAGCAAGGGACTGTGCTCCCATCAGTAACCCTGATGTATGAGAGGAGTTAACCATGTGCACTGAGAGCAAAGTTAGGTTTGCATGAACCATGTGTTGCAGGGAATGATGTCTTAATGAAGGTCCTACTCAGTTGTATTGCTCTAAACTACACTTGCTGAGGAACTGGCCTCCCCTTTTATTTCCAAACAGAGCTTTCATAAGCCAACTCAAAGAAAAGAAAATGTCATTCTTTTCATTTACTTCAACTAGATTTAGGACAAGTTTTTAAATAGCTGCTGTGATCTAACAACAAGGTGAAGAGTGACTGAATTTCAGTGTGGTTGGAACAAGCTATGTCTGTCCTCTGTATATCCTGTAACTCTATCTTAAAAATGCTGGAAATGAACAAATTTTATTTTTAAGAACCTTTAGAATCTTGGAGGAGAGCAGCCATGAAACTGTAAAGCATACTACTCTGTGGCTATTCTAGGGGAAATCCAACAGATTACTAACAGGAGGTCTTTTAAAAAAAAGGTTTCTTATATTCTCTCTTTTCTGATAAATCCTCAGAAATTTTGATAGAACAGATACCTCTTGTGCCATGCAGTAAGTGAGGGCATAATACAGCACAGTTTGTGCTTTCAAGTAGTAATAGAGTAGGCAATGGTGATATCAATAATAAAGAGGTAAAGGGCATATTGCACAACAAACATATGGCTAAATTACTTAAAACATATGGCTAAATTGATTAAGTCCTGACAGGACAAAGGGCAGGATCTATCGAGTGTTGAGTTAAGGTGAGAGCCACTTTTATGCTCTAGACAGTGGAGAGCCACATGCAATAGCTTCGTGGAGGAGGTTGGTGGAGACTGTTGTGTTAGGCAGTGCTGTTCCCTATCCATAAGTAACCTGAGTACATAACCTGTTCACATAGTGACAGCTGAGACACACATTGGTTCTTTCCTGAAAGATTTCTTTGACTCTGAAAATGTCTACCTCTGCCTTTTCTCTGCTTTTCCAGATGTTGTCACCCCAAATGGCTTGAACATTAAGAAATTTTCAGCAATGCATGAGTTTCAGAATTTGCATTCCATGTACAAGGCTAGGATCCAAGAGTTCATTCGAGGTCATTTCTATGGGTATGCTTTTACTTTTCACAAATTAGCAATGATTGTCCAACAATGTTTAAAGCAAGAACCAAAGCAGGAAGACTAACAAGTACTTCTTAGAGGAGTTGAGGTGTTACCAGCCTTTTCAAATATCTATCTGGGATTTCTCAGTCAGAAGCTAAAGGAATTTTGGACACCGGTTCTAACTCTGCTTAACAGATTGTGGGATCAGACAGAAGGTCTTGAGTTTTTCAGTATTTGCCCAAGATGCACTTTGTCAGATTAAGACAGTCAATTTAAAGACCAACAGGAAAGCCTCACTTTCATTATTTCCTTGGGATAATAAACACCTCCAGAATAGAAAGCTGTTGTGTGTTTTGTTTGATTATAGCTTGAGAAATACTTTGTTCTTGTCTGTTTGTTTGCTTGCTTTCAGCCACCTTGACTTCAGTCTTGATAAGACCTTATTTTTCTTCATTGCTGGGAGGTATGAGTTTTCCAACAAAGGAGCTGATATGTTTCTAGAAGCCTTATCAAGATTAAACTTTTTGCTGAGGGTAAGAAAGCTTATTCAGCTGTTGATAACATAGAGCTTATACTCAAACTTACCATACTGTGGAAGTCACCTGCAAGAATTTTCATGCCATACTCTGGTTTATAGGATGTTCATAGTCCATGTTCACTCACACAAGTCACCTCACATAGCTGAAGTGTTTCATCCACAACAAAAGTCAGTTGTTTGGCAGTGCTGTGCAAGATCAGCCACAGGTTAATGGCATTTGCATAGCTATTAGCTGTGAATGCTGATAACATGGAAGGTTTTCTGTGATAAGAGGGAAAGAATTACTTGAGCAATGATTGCAGTAATCTCTTATTGTAGCTAATGATTTGTGTCATACAATCATTAAGGTTGAAAAAGACCTCCAAGATCATAGAGTCTAACCTTTCACTGAACAACACCATATCAACTAAACCAGAGCACTAAGTGCCCCATCGAGTCATGTCTTGAACACGTGCAGAGATGATGACTCCACCACCTCCCTGGGCAGCCTGTTCCAATGCCTGACCACCATTTCAGTGAAGAAATTCTTCCTGATGACATTGACAAGTTAGGCTGATGGAAAGTCAAAGGAAACTGAGGCTAGTTTTCCAAAGCCTCATAGAACAGTGTGTGGTTGCTTCTCCCATAAGCTGATCCTGGCTTTATTGCATTGCTGTAACAGTGTGCATGCCAGCATGTGATTAGCTGCTCAAACAACACGTGCTCTGTAATTATTTCAAGGGACCATTCCATTGGGAATAGCAGAATACCTGTACTACTTGTGAATCTGGAAATGATGGTGCTGCTTAAACAAGTCCCAGTGGTGTGCCTGACCTTAAAAATACATAGAATTGGATAGAATTATTTTATTTTACAGAGTCATTCGCTGCTTGAAAACCTTACTAACATTTTGGAAATGATATATGAATGTTGGGACAGATTGTTCATACACACAGGTCATAGTGTGATGGATTTTGAACCTGCTTTGAAGAGAGGGAGGGGAAGAACCTTAGCATGACAGATGACTCACAAAATCATGCTGAGTGGTTGTGGTTGGAAGGAACCTCTGAGGGTCATCTAGTCCAACCCCATCTAGTCCAATATAAAGTAACCCAGAGGTTACTTTATATTATACATTTCCCTGTGTGTCAACCTGAGAGAAGTGATGTTAATAGTGTGTTTGTGTGTGGAAAATGTAAAATAGAGGCAATTCAAAATAATTTGGATTTTACAGCTCTGATCAGAGTTCACGCTTAGCCTTTCTATAAACTGTTGCTGACAGGAGTACAACTTCATTCATGCAAGGAATCCTTTGTGGGCCTCATGTTCTGAACCTTGTTAGCACAGGAGAAACCAGCAAGAGAAACCATCTATTAAAAAAAGATCAGATTTTACAGCAAATGCTTTTTGTCTTTGCAGCAGCTTGATGGGAGAGATGAGCAAGAAGTTACTTGCAGCTATTTGTGTGTCTGACAGGTTCTTTGCCAGGGGTTCAGAGAGATAATTGTTGCTATCATGTCTCTTTTAGCCCATAAACCTGCTTCTGTGGGGAATCCCTCACCTCTTGCCTACGCATAGTAAACTAGTTGCTCACTCCTTTGAGCCAACATAGTTTGTATCAGATGAGAAAATGTGTGTAGGATTTTTATGTTTTTGCAATTTATGCCCACATCATAAGCCATGGCCTCTAAACCATGACAGGTCAGGAAGATCTGTATTGCACAAATAGAAACTGAGTGACACATGTTTACCTGGACATGTTTACCTTTACATGTTTAACAGTAGTGATAGGACAAGGAGTAATGGTATAAATTGAAAGAGGGGAAATTTAGATCAGATATTAGGAAGAAGCTTTTTCTCACGAGGGCGGTGAGACACCGGCACAGGTTGCCCAGGGAGACTGTAGATGCCCCAACCCTGGAAGTGTTCAAAGCCAGGCTGGATAATGCCTTGAGCAATGTGGTCTAGTGGGAGGTGTGTCTGCCCAGGGCAGGGGGCTGGGACTAGATGATGTTTAAGGTTCATTCCAACCCCTTAAAACACTATGATACCATGATACCTGTATCTATCCTTGGCTATATCTCTGACATGACAAAACTTCATAGCTAAAGTGAGGCCTACAAGATCAGAGCCTTCCTGGACAACCAAAGTGCTTTGGCTTTTCCTGTGACCAATTCTTTGTGTTAAAGTTGGCTGTGATATCTTGTAGTGAGATTTTTTTTAATTCCTCTCCATCTTTTGTCCTGTAGGTTCATAAGACTGATGTTACAGTTATTGTGTTCTTCATCATGCCAGCAAAGACAAACAACTTCAACGTGGAAACCCTGAAAGGACAAGCAGTCCGGAAGCAGCTCTGGTAATTGCCATTCTCATTGTGGGCCTGGTACAGGGAATTGAGAAGACATGCAAAAGTTTCAGCTGAAGAATAATGCTCTTTCTTTTTGCTCTGCTAAAATTGAAGATTGTGGGTAATAAGAATGTATTTTGTGGATGAAAGAGATGGGAAAGATAAAAAAGGGCAAATATTTCTCCTTTCCTCTCCTAGGTTATTTTCAGTAAACATGCCTTGCAATTCTTTGGAATATGTTAACAAATAGTACTTGTTTTGTCAAATGATCTAGAAAATCCAGTGTTCTGCATGTCTTCTGACTGTTTCTGGTACTCCCTTTGGATGTGCCACAGAGCTCCCACAAAATAAGGACTGCCTGCTAATTTGTCAGAGTAAGCTTCTCTGGGGAAAAAGAGATTAATTATACATCCTCTTTTATTTAGAAATATGGTATCAGTACTGTCTTATCCAGCAGAATAACTGTTGACAATAATTGTCTGGAATTTTCTAGCTAGACTGCAACAAAGAGTGGCTGTACCCAAGCAGTGATACTTAGAGCTATAAAAGGAAAATTGTCACAACCCTTCTCAGCTTAACACTTTTCATTTTGCAACTTCCCATTATTACATAATAATGTTAAAGTTGCCACAGAAATTAAATACATGAAGGGGTTGGCACTTATAAAGGAATAAAACACTTATAAAGGAACAGACAATGGCTGATCCGGGATATAAAAATCCCTTGTTTCTTCTGCTTCTGCAAAAGCTACCTGGGTTAAGTTTTGGATATTGTGCGTGGCATGAGTCTGTGCAAATATAACCTTGTTTCTTCTGCTTCTGCAAAAGCTCCCTGGGTTAAGTTTTGGATATTGTGCATGGCATGAGTCTGTGCAAATATAGTCATGAGGGGAATAGCTTGCTGGGGTTTGGATCAGTGTGGTTTGACATTTAGCTGCTTTCCAACTCATCCAAAATTAACTCATCCACTATTGTGTCTACATGAATTGGGGCAGAGCAACTAAAACCAGGTAGGTGGATTCCCAGCTTGGTAAAGTTTAGGTAAAGTTTTATCTTAGCCCAAAGTATAATTCTTAGAAATCAGAAAGGCAGGAGAAGTTCTCTGAAGTGGATGTTTTACTCATATTTAGAGTTAGTTTGCTGTTTTGGCAACATAACTTCCCACTGTACTTTCAAGTTATTTCAGTGAGGGTCAGAATAATAGAACTGACTCTTTGCTTTTAGAACAGTGGTTCACTGGAGATTTTTCTTAGCTAAAAATATAACATTTGTCTGGCACAGGCTTTACTATTAACTTAAAACTTGGCCTGAGCTTCTCAGAAAGTTTCTTCTTGTTTGCAAACTAATTATGACAAACTACCTATTAGTCTAACACTTGTTTTCAAAAGTCTTTGAGTTAGGAAATAGGGCAGAAAGTGAAGGGAGAAGCTTGCTTTAAAATTGCTATTTGTTTAACTCTTATGTCTGGCATCTTTCTGCTAGGTCAAGTAAAGTTGGAGACTTCTCCTCTTGATGAGTGTACAATGTTAATGGTCATGTTTCAATACATAGTGTCATATATATGCTCTCTTTTGCATAGTTGATATGAAAGTGTGATCTACTGATTGGAGCAAATATTAGATGGAGTCACTAGTGAAGTCTGCCCCTGGAATTCACAGTGCATTCTTCTTTAGATGCAGGTCAGCTCCCCAGTTGTGTTGGAATCTGCCAGTATGGCTGTTGGCTGGATAAAGAGCTTTGAGAACTAAACCTCCATCTGCTTCTTCTATTCTTGGTTCCATCAGAATATCTTGTGATCTACTGATTGGAGCAAATATTAGATGGAGTCACTAGTGAAGTCTGCCCCTGGAATTCACAGTGCATTCTTCTTTAGATGCAGGTCAGCTCCCCAGTTGTGTTGGAATCTGCCAGTATGGCTGTTGGCTGGATAAAGAGCTTTGAGAACTAAACCTCCATCTGCTTCTTCTATTCTTGGTTCCATCAGAATATCTGAAATCACAATTTCCAACAGCATGCAGGAATCTCTCATTGTGTCTTTGTCCTAGAGTCTCCTGTTTTTATTTATCTTCCTAGGGACACTGCACAATCTGTGAAGGAAAAGTTTGGAAAGAAACTCTACAATGCCCTGCTAAAGTGAGTATATATTATTTGCTCTGCCTTGCACAGACACATATTCAGCTGACTTATCTGTGCTTCTACTCTTTGTGTAAGAAATTTTAACATTCACAGGAAGGATATGGGGCCATACACAACATATTTGTATAAGAGGCAAATCACAGAGGAAAAAAATAAAGGCACTAGAAGCCCATTGTGGAAAGAGTCAGAAGAGATATGGGAGATGTCTAAGTAACATAAAGGCTTATTCACTGTCAAAAATGAGCTACCTCAGCTTAAGAAAAGCACCAGAGACAAAGCAATATGTGTTAGTGGTTTAGTCATAGCCTTTCAGAAGACAGTTGGAAGTGAATGATCCAAAGCACAGATGAGATGAACTTCAGCAAAAACAAGGTGTGTCAGAAGAAAAAGAATTCTTTAGTCTTTTTGGAAGCTAATTGTCAGGTCAAGAAGTGTATGGGAGAACAAAATGTAGGCAATATAGAAGGGCCATGAAAACAAAGGGAAGATTCATGTTGTTATCAGCAGATTTCAGATCAGACCTTGTTTGCCATTTCTTCATTTTCTTTATACAACTGCTAACAAGTAATTTGGTAACATAGGCTATGTGTTACGTTTACAGAGGAGAAATTCCAGACTTGAACAAGATTCTTGACCGAGATGATATAACCATTATGAAAAGAGCCATCTATTCAACTCAGGTCAGAGAATGTATTATTCACATAAACATCTAGTATAAATTATAACCATAGTGACATACAAAGATTGTGTGTGACATGTAGCAAAATGTGTTCATTGGGAAGAAGTTTTCAGCAAAAATTGGTAAGGTTTATTGATCAGCTCTGATTGTTTTTTAATGAGAGTGTGACCCAAACTAATCTTTGTGGAATCCATGGATATTCTTTCAGTTATATGCAGGACACCAAAATTCCTAATTCTTTGCTTCTGCACTAAGTGTGAACTTTGCATTGTTCCTGAAGCCTGGATTCTTCCATTTTTATTGAATATGTAGAATTAAACTCTTAAGGAGATATAACATATTGACTAAAAAAATCTTCAAGATTAGATGGTAAGCCTTTCTAAAAGGTAGTACAAATACATTTACTTTGAGGCAATTGAAAGAAGTCCTGTGACTATTTTTATGGTGTCATTTGTGGCCTTAGTTGTATAGAGCATTCTATGATCATAACTTTCCTGTCTTACCTTAAAACAAAAGGGTAGAAACCTATTCATATCAATGACAAAATCTGGCACTGCCTCCCTCTAAGCCCAGAAAATGATAACACAACTGTTTTCCAAGAGTTTTGTCTGGCTTACAGATTGCCTTTTCCCTCTTCAGCGGCACTGCCTGCCCCCAGTGACCACCCACAACATGATTGATGATGACAACGACCCAATCCTCAACACCATCCGGCGCATTGGCCTTTTCAATAACCGGACAGACAGAGTAAAGGTACCTTCTGTCCTTTTCACTTTAGATAGAAAATGGAATTTCTTTAAACCCTGTCAGTCTGGGTCATTAGCATGGGCAGTACAGTCAAATTCTTGATAGGCAATATTATACTCACGGGCTCCTTCTTCCCTCTTCCTCCCTTTCCAGGACTAACAACTTCACAGATATCCTCAGTTGCTCTTTAACCAAGTTAATTTCAAGTTAGAAATCTGATGTTAGGGAATTGTTTTCATCTAATCTAAACCAACTCTCTGTCAGTTTGAAGCCATTCCCTCTTGTCCTGTCAGTCCACACCCTTGTAAATACTCTCTACCTTGGTACAACAGACCAAGAGAACCAATGTGGTCTTGCTAAATGCTACAGACTTAGGCATAATTCTCAATGCACTTGCTCTTCCTTGATGAAGAAGGATAAAGCTGAAGACCTGTCCAAGAAAATATGTTCATTATCAGTACTATTTCCAGGACAAGAATCCACACAGGCAGGATTCATCTTAGTGTGCAAAGTGGATTAGATAACAGATCAAAGAACGTGTTGTCCACTTAGTTAGGAAAAGAACTGAGTGATTATTGATAATTAAAATGTATCAAGGATGGTTTTCTTTCACTTCTAATGTAAGTTTTGAATACCCAGGTGATCCTACATCCAGAGTTTCTTTCTTCAACAAGCCCGTTGCTGCCCTTGGACTATGAGGAGTTTGTTAGAGGCTGCCACCTTGGTGTATTTCCATCTTACTATGAACCCTGGGGTTACACTCCAGGTAGGCAATCCGTACCCTTAACCAGTATCAATAGGTGAACACCCATTCTGTTGATGCAGAATAGCTTTGCAGCCAGTTTGTTCTGGAAAAGAAACACTCCTACACCTAAAAGATTCAGTTTTGTAAAGAGCTGCGAACAACTAAAGAACATATGTGACATCAAGCTTAAATTTAGAAGCCAAACAGTCCTGACCATATATTGGGGTTCTGTATTTCAACGTTGCACTCCCAGAAGGCTTTCAGTTTAGCTGCTGGGAAACTCAAGGATATGTTTGCAAACATAGTGTGAATTTTGTGTTTAAAAATTCTTTTTCTTTCCTTTTTCTTCAAATCCACAACAAAGCATAATAGTGTTCATTGGATGTTTTCAGAGCAGCTCTAGTGTTATGGGACCTTCTGTCTGCCTGTTTCTTTTTCTTTTTTTCTCTCAAAGTGAGAGCACTCAAAGTATATTGCCCTGACACACTTTTTGTCTGTTTCTCTTGGCAGCTGAATGCACTGTGATGGGCATTCCCAGTGTAACCACAAACCTCTCTGGATTTGGCTGTTTCATGCAGGAACATGTTGCTGACCCTGAAGCTTATGGTAAAACTTTTAACACCATTTCAGAATATCACCTCTGAGTTAGGAAAGCAAAAAGCACAACAACCAGGCTGTTAATTCTCAATTTCCTGCCTTCACTTGTTCTTTGAGGGAGTATCTTCAGAGGTCTGACTATCTTGTTGTGTTGAACAGCTTTCATATTATCCAAACCCTTTCCGGATTATTTCTCTTTTGTTTCCCTTTAATCTTTTGTCTTCTTTATCCTTCCAAACTCATCACTGCTCATACCAGTCTGGAGTCTCCCAGCACCTCCCTTTAATGCCTCTGATTGCACTATAACACTCTGAGCCCTTCAAAAGGAGCAGTGTAAGTCTGTTTCTCTGGGAATAGTCCAAGGATGCACTGGGACTTTGAGGCCAGTGAAACACATCCCCACTAAAAAAACCAGTAGATTATCATGTACACTTAAAAAGACTAAACTAAACTAAACAAAATCCCGTGAATATAAGAGGAACCTACTTCAAATAATGATCTGCTCATAAGGGTTTAGAAATGGTTCCTGATTGGAGTGTGGTGAGGAGGAAGATAGCCAGTACCTGGTGTGTGAAGACAACTCTGCCTAGTCAGTCATTCTCTGTCTTAGCAAATCCTTCCTGCAGGACTGAAACCAAAGTGGTTGTCCATGTTTTCCATCTGGTGTGGTCATTGCTAATGATTGGGGCGTCCCTGAGCTACAGAGGGAGGCACAGCCCTCCATGTCCTTTTGTCTTAGTTAGCCAGGGCAAACTGTAGATGTCCCATCCCTGGAAGTGTTCAAGGCCAGGTAGTCTGGGGCTTGGAGCAACCTGGTCTAGTGGGAGATGCCCCTGCCCATGGCAGGAGCTTGGAACTAGATGATTTTTAGGGTCCCTTCCAGGCCAAACCATTCTGTGATTCTGTGAATATTGAGGATGTGCCCAAACTAGGAGCTCTTTCTAGTACCTTGGCCTTTCTGCACCATTAGGCAATGACAGCTCCACACTGCTGCCAGCTATGCCTGGCCTAGGGGTAAGGGTAGAGCCAACTGCAAAATTTAGATATGACTGCCTGGGTAGGACTGTCTTTGAGACCCTTCAGAAAGGTCACACACACAGAGAACAGGTCACTTGCTCTTCTCTGCCAAAACACAGATGTTGATGCTGACATAAATTACTGTACTGACACTGGGCACTTCAATTAAGGTACTTGTGCATTTGTCATGTCCGTTGAGACAGCTGAGGTCTAGTACCCTGTTCTTCCCAACATCCTGGTGTAAGGAAGGTGGCAAAAATAATGTATTAATCTCAACAAACTCCATAGAAGTAAAGCTTCCCTTTGCCCTCTCTCTACCAGAATTGTCTATGGACTGATGTGAGTTAGCTGTCTCCATGGAAACACTTGTATTTCTACAGGGAACATCCTCTCTCCTACAGGCTGGTTCTGGCCATGCACACTTATAAATCCTACAGCAAACTAGGAAAGCACTAGCTTATGGGTTTGTTTTCTTTTTAAGCGGTCAGTATTTTAAAAATTATGGGAGATAAAAATGATATGTCTTTATCCAGAAACTCGAATCCTTTTGGACATACTTATACAGCAACAACAAAGCCTCTGAGTTTTGAAGAATTTGCTGAATTTCAGCCTGAAAGGTAAAGAAAATTAAAATAAGAAATCCATATACCTCTGCAGCTTTCCATTCCATCAGAACAGTAACAAATGTTCCACTGATAGCTGCCTTTTAACATTAAAAAAATATGTAATACATGTGATGTTTGTAAGACTGTGACAGAAGGTAGATTGGAAATATGAGAGGTCAGATCCACTTTTCAGTTCCACTCATCTTCCACTTTTTGTGTCCTTCAGGTATCTACATAGTTGACAGGAGGTTCCGCTCACCAGACGAATCCTGCAACCAGCTGACCCAGTTCCTGTATGGGTTTTGCCAGCAGTCCCGGCGCCAGAGGATCATCCAAAGGAACAGAACTGAGAGGCTCTCAGATCTGTTGGACTGGAGATACCTGGGCAGGGTGTGTGAAACTGTGCAATAGAAGTATTAATAACTCCAGATACACAGGTGTCACCAGCAGCCTTCAGCATCACACTGCAGTGCACCTCTCACTGGTACCTTCACATGTCAGTGTGATGTTTCCATGCTCCAGTGGCAAGGAGACACATGACTTAACTGAACCGAGCTATTTCTGGTCCTAAGGACGTTGTAAAAAGCTGGTGTCACTGGCAAGCCCTACACTAAGTAGGATTTTTGCTCCAAAGTCACCTGGGCCTTTCAAAAATCCTACCTGTTCTTCCTAAAATTCTGATGGGCCTTGTGGCTCCTCAACACTCCTAAACTACCTTTGTGCCTTAAAGGTAAAGTAGTGTTTTTTATTAGACACAGAAAGAACTGCAGTACCACCTACTAGGAAGACAGTAGCAAAATGGTTTTCTCAAGTCCACAGGAGTAAAGAAGTGGATGCATATATCAGTTTTGCAGCTATTTTGAACCTTTTCCTGCTCTAATACCTGTGTGAGAACCATATTATTTATATGGTTCCCAACACTTCGCAAGACCTTGGTACAACAAGCTATTTTTTCCATGCATGTGCTGCAAACTCAGGAATAAAGTGGATCTATAAATATTTTTGCAAAATTCTTAAATACATCAGTAAACTCATAATTGTTACTTCTCTGTAACTATTACACATGCTTCCTGTGGAAGAATGAGTCCAAAGCTTATGTGTATACATGTGCACATTTAAAGATGTAAATTTTCCTGGTTAAAAAAGTCAGCTCTATCTTGAGGGATAAAGAAAACGTGTTACTCAATAAGAACTACACTGACCAAGACAAGCCCTACTTTCCATCTTAATACATCTTAGTCTTAGCAGAACCTTATTCAGATTCTGTTCCAGACTCCTTCAGTGTGAATCTAACATGCATGGCTCACTAATTCACAGCGAAGTGTTTGTTGTGAGCAGTGTTTGTTCAGCATAATCTTTTAGAAGATACTCATTTTATGTTCCTTCTCCCCCCTGCTTAAATCTACCCAAGACTTCCTTGACTTGTAAAGGCTTCTCTTTTATGTTGCAGTATTACATGCATGCCAGACACTTGGCCCTCAGCAGAACATTCCCAGAAAAATTTGAGATGGAACCAAGTGCTCCACCAAAGGTAAAGTCTGCTTTTGGAGATGAGTTCATTTGCATTTTAGCTGCTTTACAAAAAGAGAGAGAAAGAGCATGTGTGTGTGTGTGTGTTTGACAGAAAGACGAAGAAGAAAGTTAGCAAGTTTTGGGTTAACTAAAGGGAAGTAGGAACAAGTTATAGACCCAGTCTCCAGGCAAGAGTTGGAATGTGTGCTGGTTTTGGCTGGGATAGAGTTAATTTTCTTCACAGTAGCTGGTGTGGGGCTGTGTTTTGGATTTGTGCTGGAAACAGTCTGGATAACACAGGGATGTTTCAGTTCTGGATACAGCCAGTTGAGGAACTCTGTATTAACACATACAACTTGCTTCTCTCTGCCAGACGGAAGGTTTCAGGTACCCCAGGCCTTCATCAGTGCCACCATCACCTTCTGTCTCTCAGCATTCCAGCCCACACCACAGCGAAGCTGAAGATGAAGATGAGGATGAAAGATACGATGAGGATGAGGAAGCCGAAAGGGATAGGCAAAATATCAAGTCTCCATTTTCCATTGGAGCATTGTCACAAGGAAAAAAGAAGCAACATGGAGAATACAGGAACTGAATTCATTCTTCTCACCCTGGCAGTGTCTCTCCATCCATTCGGGTTTCTCCTGTAGGCTTGGCAAGCTTTGCATTAAGGACAGTGTGATATAATTAGAGGAATCTTAAACGTTACTTGAGCTACACTGTTGGAAAGCCTAAAATTATTTCACCTTGAACATAGTTTAAATGACAGTTTTTCTGTGCCCCTTTGAAGTAGAAGAGATTTCTCAAGCTTAATAAACCTAGAGAATGTGACAATCCCCTCAGGAACTTATGCAAACTGCAGATCATACCTTTGTCTACGTAATCATCTGTATTAATCATAGTCTACATGGATAGCTCCAATTTGGGTATCCCAAATGAATTTCTGATTCATTTATGTTTCCCCCTTTCCCCTTCTAAACTAACATGAACTTTAAGCCAGAGCTGAAAAAATTAGAGGAAAAAAAAAGTATTACACTGGAGAAATGTTGGAAGAGTTAAAAAAGATACACTGAAAATAAAATGGTCTTTCTTTTTCCTTATGCTGTTTATTGTAAGATTACATAATGTAAACAATTTTTTTTTACAGCACACAGAAGTGTCTTGATCCAGTGGTAAAACATACTTCCTGTGGAAAAATATAAAGTCTTATGCAGTGGGCATTTGAATTTTAGAGGCAAATGAAGTCATCTTTCTGAAATCATTTAGACCCACAATAAACAGCAGACCCTTTATTTTCTGATTCCTCTGGTATGTCTCTTTTATTGTTTTCATCTTGTCTTAGATTCTAAGTTTGTTAACAAACTGGTTTGGGAGGAAATGAATGTGACTTGGCTAAAGTGAATGACAAAATTTCCTTCAGTAACACCTTCCCCTGCAGACAAACCTACACGCCATAATGTGACAACATTAAAGATGAGTAACTCTCATGTTACTCATGAGAGTAACAATTGCCTCATTAGTCTATGATCTATTTCACTTCTTCTAGAAGAGATCTAACCTAAAAAATAATGTGAAAAGAGTTCCAAGAACACATCTGTCACAGATGAATTTTGAAATGTACCTGAAACTTCAAAGGGCTTGGAGAATAATTGAACCTCCCAACAAGAGCTAGACATCTCATTTGCCTTACAGAAAGCTTTCAGAACTATTTCAGTTCCTAGAGATGCAGAGGGCTCCTGAACATGCTCTTCAGAAGTTGATCTTGACATGAAGACGTTAGGAAGGAGATTCATCTTTCATTTTAGAAGCTTGTGCATCAAAATTTCTCGTGTTGTTCAAGACGTTTCCAAGAATTCCTGCTCTTCGGCAGGTATGATGATGTAACCTTTGAAGGTATTTACCTTCACTGTCAATCCCAGGGGGAGCCTAGATGTCCAACTTTGATTAGACATCTACCTTTCAAGCACTTAACCAACACTTGGTGACATGGTTCTTACTATAGGCCATAGAGGAAAAAAAGTGGCCACCTAAAACCTGTTTAAAGATTGGACATTCATTCTTAAGCTGATTTGTATACCTGAAAGACTATTCTTAGAAGTCAGGTTTGGGCTTTTATGGCAAATACTTAATTGGATATAAAAGGAATCAGTATTCTTTAGCCATTTAAAAAGTAATCAAAACAGTGATTCATTTTTCAGATGAAAGTGATGAAAGCAAGGATACTGCAGATATTTTCCTTCATGCAATTTACTAAGTGGAGAACAGCTGCATTTTGTGAGTTTCTTCCACAAAGTGCTTTTAGTCAAAGTTCCCTTGCAGAGTCAAAGAATCCAATGGCTGAGAGTCCCAACAAAAGAGCATTTTAAGGGCCTATTGATTGCAAGTTAATGTTCTCTTCAAAAAACCTGACATTATTACTTGTATTTCCAAGCACTGTTGTAGAGCAGAAAAGCTGTGTGTCTTTCAGCACGCTCAGATGCTTTGAGCACCCTCCTGGTGTTAGAAAGTGCACAGCTTCTGAGATGTGACTATTGTGAATGCTTTGCCTATTCTTCTCAGAAATGCTCTTGCAGCGACCAAAGTGACCTCTGCCTTATGCTTCTGTTAGTTCTGCCTTCAATGCCAGGGTTAACCATTAGCAGCAAAGCAATTAATCTGCAGCAAAACATCTCTGCCTCAAGAATTTATAGCATGAGATGGAATGGCTTTTCATTCAGTCAAGGCGACAGATTGCCTAAATTAAATGCCACACATTTCTAACAGTTACTGAGATCTGACAAGCTTGGTAGCAGCTATCTGTTACATAAGTGATTATCTGCCAGATGGAAAATACTGGGGTTTCACAAACAGCTCAACAACAAGGCAGAATGTTTATTCTGTTTCATGGTATTTGTAAAGAATTGTTTAAGCTAGAGAGCTCAGATCAGGAACACACACAAAAATCAGTCAGCTGAGAATGTGATGAGAACAGGTTTTCAATCACTGGGACAGTTAGAGGCACATAAATTTCAAGAGACTAATAAACCAAAGGATCTATAAGTCTTCTACTTTTCACCTTTCTAGTGGAAGGTGTCCCTGCCCATAGCAGGGGGTTGGAACTGGATGTTCTTTAAGGTTCTTTTCAACCCAGGCCACTCTGTGATTCTGTTCTATGATTCTGTAATACCTTTTGTCTGAACACTGACTGATGATACTGTAAAGGATGCTGAAAAATAACTTAGATTTCAAGTTCAAAGCCAGGCTGGAGGAAACCTTGAGCATCCTGGTCTAGTGGGAAGTGTCCCTGCCCATGGCAGGGGGTTGTGACTAGGTGAACTGTAAGGTCCATTTCAACCCCTAAAAATCTATGATCCCATGATGATTCTTAGATGCACCTGAAATAGTCTGAATATGTTTGAAACAAAGTACAATTAAATCAATGAAAGGATTCTGGTGGATATCATTGGCCTTTGGGTGAAGTTGATCATGAGTGTATTCTGTCATACAACATATCCTGCTGTTGAAAGATACGTTAGTGCTTAAAAATGAATAAACTAGGACATTTTGATTTCTCTGGTTATGTTCTTCCATGAAATGATACAGGTTATAAACAATTACTCAAAGTGCCTCTAACCCCAGGATAGAAAATGATTCCTCTGTCCCTTCAGCTGCATTTCTTTGCGTTGAGAACAAGCAACATTATCATTAGTGTGAGTTAACAAAGTTAATTAGCAGTGTCATGAGAAAGATTGGAGGAAAGTAGCATTAAAAGATGAAGAGCATGACTAGGGTTAAAGGTTAAAAAAAGAAAACATAGTTGCTTGGACACAAAAATCATGTGGCTATTCTTTAATTACATGAGAATTGCAGAGAGTTTTCCAGTAAGACCACAATGTTACATAAATAATGTTAAATACATTGTTATCAGCACGGCATGGTAATTAACAGATTTATGTATAATTCCAGTTACACAACTCGAAAAGCAAGAACAAAAAAGTACAGCAACAGTGCAGTCCCTAATGAGGCCCTGATCCTGTAAGACCTGTCCTCACACTGTCTTTAGGTGGTGGGACTTGCTCAGTAGGATTATTCAGAGCACACATTTCTGCATGGTTGTAACTGGGGCAGTAAGTGCTGTTGTCTGTTCTCTGTGGTGACAAATATCTGCCCCCAAAAAACCACTACCTTTGCAGTCAAAGATAGCTGGATTGTTTTATTATGTCACTGAACTTACTGACCATCAGCAGCTTACAGGGCCAGCAGTGAAGTGCTGAAGGAATCTGTCTTTATGAGAATTTAAAAAGCTTCAGGATACAGCTGGGTGGAGGATGGCAAAAGGTTTCCCAATGACTACTGAAAAACTGTTTCAGATGAAGTAGTTGTCCAAAAAGACAGTTTTAATTATCTTTTCAGGTAAGGTGGTACAGTGCATTTTAAATTTTAGGTAAGGCATACAAAATGGTCTAAAGAAAGCAGGAACTTTACAAATACCTTACTTATCTGGACTAGTACCTTTAAAATCAGTTCACACTCCCAATTTTGCAATGTCTATATACATCACCCTTTGGCATCTGAAGGGAGAATGGATGAAATATTCTGCTTACACAAGTTATGATTTCAGGGTCAATGCAATACAAATGTTAAAGAAATCTGAAATATTTCACAGGTTTGATAGATTGTCTGTCAAGTAGCCAGGGTGATCACTGTTTTCCTCTTCAGCTGTAAGACAAGACAAAATGGGGAAAATAAGTTGTAGATAAAGGAAAGTGTGGCCAAAGTTTTCAGGAGACAGATGTGCCTCAGGCACAGGCCTAGTATAATGTGACTGCTTAGCTAAGAGAGTCAGACGTCTCTAGAAATAATCACGCTTCTCTCATTTTAAATGTAGCAATTTTTCTGTTTGCTGAAGAACAAAGACACAAACCATGTCCAGAGGGGTGTCTTAGCACATGGCGAAAGTATTTCATGCAGAATAAAAGAATTATTTATTCTTGCCCTCAGTCAAGAGGATTCTAAAATCTCCTGAAAATGATCTTCTGAAAGTGCATAGCCTACCCAGGTTTGAATGTCTTATTACTCCCTGCTGCAGTGATGGCAATGTTATTCCACCTAGTATTTTCAAAACTAGCTGCCAGTTCTGCTTAGCTCTCCCAGATATGGCACTTTTTTCTCAGAGGGCTGTTGCTGTCCACCATCTCCTCTGGAAGAGCAACAGCAAGCAGGAAAATACCACTAAACTTTATGAAAATCCACCATCAGAGGATTTTCTTTTTTTGTTAGCATAAAAATGACACTTTCACTGATTTATCTTTAGAACTGCTCATGTATTTTGTTCAAAGCACTATGCTCATTTTTAATTCTGCTTTTCTCTCTCTGCAAAATGCCACTGGATGTTTTTGGTTAGCAGAGCTCTGCCAGGACAGGGAAGACAGAGCTGAGCACAGATCCTCAGCTCTACATGAAGTACAGCAGGAGATTTTAGGAAGTGGCAAAGACAGGAGTGGTCCCAGCACACCTGCACATACACCAGGTAAATTCTGGGAGGTGTTTCTCACAGCCTCTTTGCATTTCAGGAGAGGTGTTTACTTTAGGTAGCTAAGGAGAGGTGATATCACA